AAGCTGCTCTTTGTGGCAAGTGGAGGTCATTGCAGAAAACAATGAGTAGCTTTTACGAAAGGATTTAGTGTTTGTGGTTTTGTCATTCTTTGTTTTTGTTGCTTGTAAGACTCTTGCTGTGTTGCCCAGGCTGGTCTTGAACTCACCACCCTCTTTCAGCACTTATACAGCTAAGGGTGTGTGGAGTACATGCTGAAGATAATCATCATGACATTTAAAGACTTCCTTAGTGAGCTAATAGCTCCTTATTACAAAAAATACACAACTTAGAGTAAAAACATCTCTGCCTGTATTAATTTACCCAACCACAACCAAGTGCTGCATCTTAGATGGCCGCAACAGAAATGTATTTTCTCTCAGTTCTGCAGACTGGAATTCTGAGATCAAAGTGACAGCAAACTTGGCCTCTTCTGAGGACTTTTCCCTGGGGTTGTGGATGGTCCGCTGTTCTGTGTGTCTTCACCTGCCTGGCATGAGCCTTATGATAAAGACATGAACCCTTATGGCTTCCTTATACTATAGTTATGCCTTTAAGGACTCTGTTTCCTAATACAGTCACATTCTGACGTACTGGGAAGAGGCCAGAGTTTCAGTGCATGAAAATTTGGGTGAGACAATCTAACCCATTTATCTACAGCCACATATAATTACATCTGTATATATATCTATATACAAATATTTCTATTGCCTGTCTCATATGAGCCTGGAATTCTCATAGTGAAGACTCCTCCAAACCCTACTACATAACAATGAAAGGACACATAGCCAGTCTAATTTCCTCAGCTTAAAGTAGCATGTGACCTGCTAGCATTCATATTAGGAATGGACACTCTACAGCCAACTGCTAACTAATTTCAGTGTTCCTGTGAGGATGTGTGTAGGAGATAAAAGGATTCAGAGGGGGACCTCAAAAACAAATGGGGTTCCATTGCACTTTTGATTTTGAATTAATTTTGGATGTTGCAACACAGAAATATTTTACTGTTACCAAATTTCTCATGACTCCCATGTATTGTGACCTGGCCCCATGTGGATTTGCGACTGAAAATTTTCTTAATATTTTTTATTTTAATTTTTATTAATTTCACTTCATTCACTTTGTATCCCCATGTAGCCTTTCCCTCCACCCCTCCCAGTCCTACCCTCCCTTCCCCTTCTCCACTCATGCCACTGAGGGGTGGTCTTCCTCTCCTTCCTTCTGAGCCTAGTCTATCAGGTCTCATCAAGAGTGGCTGCATTGTTTTCCTCTGTGGCCTGGTAAAGCTGGTCCCCCCTCAGGGGGAGGTGATCAAAGAGCAGGCCAATAAGTTCATGTCAGAGACAGTCCCTGTTCCCATTACTATGGAACCCACTTGGACACTGAACTGCCATGGGCTACATCTTGCAGGGGTTCTAGGTTATCTCCACAAATGGTCCTTGTTGGAGTATCAGTCTCAGAAAAGACCCCTGTGCCCAGATATTTTGGTTCTGTTGCTCTCCTTGTGGAGCTCCTGTCCCCTCCAGGTCTTTCACCTCCCCCTTTCATAAGATTCCCTGCACTCTGCCCAAAGGTTGACCATAAGTCTCAGCATCTGCTTTGATACCCTGCAGGGTGGAGCCTTTCAGAGGCCCTCTGTGTCAGGCTCCTGTCCTGTTCTGTGTTTTTTCCTTCTTCTGATGTCCATCCTCTTTGCCTTTCTGAATGGGGATTGAGCATTTTAGCCAGAATCCTCCTTCTTGATCAGTTTCTTTAGGTGTACAGATTTTAGTAGGTTTATCCTATATTATATGTCTAATATCCACTTATGAGTGAGTATATATAGCCTCTGTGTCTTTCTGCTTCTAGGATACCTCACTCAGGATGATCTTTTCCAGATCCCACCATTTGCCTGCAAATTTCATGATTTCCATGTTTTTATTGCTATTAAGCAATATTCTGGCAAAGAAACCAACTGGTGGATCAATGGAATCGAATAGAAGACCCTGAAATAAATCCACACACTTATGGACACCTGATTTTTGACAAAATTACCAAAACCATTCAATGGAAAAAAAACAGCATCGTCAACAAATGGTGCTGGTCTAACTGGATGTCTACTGGATGTAGAAAAATGCAAATAGATCCATACTTATCACCCTGCATAAAACTAAAATCCAAGTGGATCAAAGACCTCAATATAAAACCAGACACACTAAATCTGTTAGAAGAAAAAGTGGGGAAGAGCCTTGAACTCATTGGCACAGGAGACCACTTCCTGAACAGAACACCAACAGCTCAGGCTGTAAGATCAACAATTAATAAATGGGACCTCATGAAACTGAAAAGCTTCTGTAAAGCAGAGGACACTGTAGTCAGAACAAAGGACAGCCTACAGATTGGGAAAGGATCTTCACCTATATCTGACAGAGGGCTAATATCCAGTATATACAAAGAACTCAAGAAGTCAAACAGCAACAAATCAAATAATCCATAGAGGAATATCGAATGGCTGAAAAACACTTAAAGAAATGCTCAACGTTCTTAGTCATCAGGGAAATGCAAATCAAAACGACCCTGAGATTTCACCTTACACCCATCAGAATGGCTAAAATCAAACACTCTACATGCTGGTGAGGTTGTGGAGAAAGGAAAACCCTCCTTCATTGCTGGTGGAAATGTAAACTTGTACAACCACTCTGGAAATCAATCTAGCACTTTCTCAGACAACTAGGAATAGCACTTTCTCAAGATCCTGCCATACCACTCCTAGGCATATATCCAAAAGAGGCTCAAGTACACAATAAGGGCATTTGCTCAACCATGTTTGTAGCAGCTATATTTGTAATATCCAGAAGCTGGAAACAACTCAGATGCCCCTCAACTGAGGAATGGATACAGAAATTGTGACTGACAATTAAAGAAGCTATGGTCAAGTGGAATATGGATGAGAACTGAAATCTACTGCAGACATGAATTAATCTGATTGGCCTGCTCTTTGATCACCTCCCCCTGAGGGGGGAGCAGCCTTACCAGGCCACAGAAGATGACAATGCAGCTACTTCTGATAAGAACTGATAGTGTAAGATCAGAAAGAAGGAGAGGAAGACCTCCCCTATCAGTGGACTCGGGGAGGGGCATGCATGCAGAAAGGGGAGGAAAGGTGGGATCGGGAGGGGAGGAGGGAGGGGCTTATGGGGGGATACAAAATGAATAAAGTGTAATTAATAATAATAATAATAATAATAATAATAATAATAATAATAATAATAAAAAGAATTGCAAGATTTGAACCACATTTTGGTACATTGCTCCATCCAACCCAGAAACAGTGTCTGAATGAATTTTGGAAGCTTTTTCTTCTGTTGCCTGTTGCAAACAAAACAAAACAAAAAACAAACAAACAAACAAACAAACAAAAAACACCAAAGAGTTCCTGGTAAGATAACTCAGCGACTCAGCCAATAAGGTGCTTGCCACCAGCCTAACTCCTGAATTCCATCCTCTGGGCCCACACGGTGGACGGAGACAGACAACCAACTCAGAGCACTTTGTCCTCTGACCTTCACAATCAAACTGTGGCACAGGCCTGCATACACTTGCACCCAAACACACTTAATGAACATACTTTGTAAATGGTGTTGCTTCTTGCCTGGCAGCGAGGTCTGTTAGGAATCCCACGTAGAAAGCTGATTCTTTCAGAGGCTGTAATTTTACCGTAAGCAAGGCTACAATTTGTTTCTCGACCATTTCAAATTGAGAACTGAATCAATTACCAGGCAACTTATGATTCGTTTGGTCGAAGTTCAGGGATTGAGCAGTTGCTCTGCATAAGATTTACAGTCAGACAAGGCCTGCTATGGTTCACACTTGGCTCCTGGAAATCTGTGTGTGTGGCCCCTGCCAGCCTTCCTGACCTCTTTTTTCTAGGTGACCAGGTCAGCATCCTTAGTGAAGCTATGCCCAGGCCATTCCCAGTGCATAGAACTCACTGCTCCCCACATCATCCCAGAACTTCCTGCTCTGCTGTTCTAAACAGATGTGCAGTAAGTTAGCAGACTTGACTCCACCGAGATTGCACCTTGGCTCTTCAGGAAACTTTGAGCTCATCTGCATAAGAAATAACAAGCAGAGGGGGGAATGAACCCCGACAAGGCCAACAGCACAATTCCAAGCTGTGTCCCAGCAAGTCAGAAGAGTGTTCATGTGTTAACCCCTGGCATGCTGCTCTGAGCAGCGCCCCACTCAGCCTTCCCCCATCTCAACTCCTGTGCTGCTGCAGCGAGATTTGGAGGCTTCTAGGCAGAGCCCCCTGATGGAACAGCCCTCCCAGTCCTGTTCCAGTAAGGAGGGTCACAGTGATCTTTCCTTCCCCCTGCACACAAAGGCAAGGCGCTCCTTAAAGGGACCTTCCAGCTCCTCCAGGCAGTGGCCAACCCGAGTGAGAGCTGGCTCAGGAGCCCCAGCTTTTGCCTGAAGATGAGTGGGGAGGGGTCTTGAGACGCTTCCACCCCCGCATCCTCCAAAGCCCGGAAGGAAGGCACTTGGCAGGCAGAGCGCATGGAGACCAAGGGTCCGCGGGGCCCCGCTTGCTGTTGGCTGCTTCTTGGGATGCTCCTCTCCAGTTGAGCCTCCTGCCTGAGATCCAGAGGGTGCTGGCGGCGCATCTTGCGGTATGCCTGCGCTGCTTTGAGCCAGCGCCCAGAAGCCAGCCCTCCGCATTCAGGCTCCTCGGACTGGCTCCAGGCAGGGCTGTGTGCAGTCACCATGAACGCTCAGCTCTAGGCTTCTGCACCAACCTCCTGACCACATGGATCTGGCTGTTTAATCAGCCGAGATCACAGCCTGGGAAGACCGGGGAGGCTGATCCGCGCTCCAGCTGCTGAGACAACTTCCAGCCTCGCTGTTTACTTCTTTGGGTCCCAGGGACTCTGTGTTGCACCTCAGCCCCTCCTGCCGCTCCGTGGGCTCTGAAGTCAGCTGCCGGGACTCCGCTGAAGGCCCCCAGGAAGGGTGGCAAGAGGGGTTGAAAGACAGCAGCAATCCCCCACCTGCTCACCCTCTGCCGACCGCCTGTGCTATGGGGTTCTGAGAGGACCTTGCGCTGTCCTGGGAAGCAATGCAAGTCTCCATAGCCTGCACAGAGCACAATTTGAAGAGTCGAAATGGTGAGGACCGACTTCTGAGCAAGCAGAGCTCCACCGCCCCCAATGTGGTGAACGCAGCCCGGGCCAAATTCCGCACTGTCGCTATCATCGCTCGCAGCCTGGGGACCTTCACCCCTCAGCATCACATTTCTCTCAAAGAGTCCACCGCAAAGCAGACTGGCATGAAATATAGGTATGGATGCGAGGTCCCTCTGCCCGGGGCTTCCGTGTTCTTTGCAGTTCAGTCAGGCAGTTCTTCGGTTTTGAAGTGACTTAACTCAGCACTGGTTTGCTTAATTAGGAATTCTCAGGTGTTTGCTTTTAAAGTAGCCTTGGAGGAGGGTGGGCAGGGGAATGAAAACGCCCAAGGTGCTGTGCGTGCTTGTGTGCGATTTTTAAGATGTGGCTCATTTTGTATATTCTAAGTGTTATGAACACCTTAGGACCTTAACAAATTGCAGACAGTAGAGAAAACACACACACACACACACACATACACACACACACACATACACACACACACACACACACACACACACACACACACACACACACGAGCTGGAAGCTCTTTTCTATAAGAAAGTTTGTCAGGAGCAGAAGAATTTGTCCTGCTTGATGCACAGAGAGTGGATTCTGTGCTTATCCTATAGTTCCCATCTCACACCGCACTCTTGGATTTGAGAGACCAAGGCAACAAGCTGAGCACAGCGTGAGTGTGTGGGGAATAGAGTTGGGAGGGGTGTGAGGGTGATCAAAATACTATATTTACTAAAATTTACTAAAAGCACATTTACTAAAAGCAAAAAAAAAAAAAAATCATTAAGAACCCTCGTTCCTACTGCCTGTGATTGCTGTATTGTTACGTCTCGGGTGTTTGCCGTGGAACGGTTTTGTCTAAGAGGATGTCTTAGCTAGGGTTGTTGTTGCTGTGCTCAAACACCATGACCAAAAGCAACGTGGGTAGGAAAGGTTTATTTTGCTTGTCATGGAAGGAAGTTGGGCAGGAACTCATGCAGGGAAGTAACTTGGAGGCAGGAATTGATGCAGAGTCCACGAAGGAGTCCTGCTTACTGGTTTGCTCAGCCTGCTTTCTTATAGAACCCAGAACCACCATCTCAGCGGTACCACGCACAACGAAGGGCCTAGGCCTTCCCACATCAATCACTAAGGAAATGTTGTATAGGCTTGCCTACAGGCCGATCTTACGGATTTTTTTTCTCAATTGAGGCTCCACCCCTCAGATGACTCTAGCTTATGTTAAGTTGACATAAAAATTGTCAGGTAGCACAGTGGGCTTTTGCAGTCAGGAGCTCTCTTTCCCTACGGTTTTGCTCTCTGCACAGTTGAACTCAGATTGGCCTCTAACTGTCTCATTCAAGTGTAGGCAGCACTGACTTGGATGTCTTCATCACTTGGAGCTAAGCACAGCTCGTCACTGGCAACCATCTGGGACCTTCAGCACTCTTGAGTTCTTTGTAAATGACTAGAAATGTGATTCTTTTCCAGTCGTTGTCTTCACTCCATCTATCAGGTGATTTTCGAGGGTGTGGATGTGACACGCTTCACTTTTAGTTTCTGCCCTGGGTCACCTTTGTGGAAAAATATACATATATTAGGAGATAACACTAAATACAGGCCAAGTTTTCTTAGAGTTGGGAGGAGTACAGAGACAACGATGATGATGATGATGATGATAGTGAACACACCTAGTTAGAATGGCTAAGGTTAAGAAAACAAAAGACAAAAGCTGCCAAGAATCTGGGGAAAGAGGGACTGTTGTTTACTGTTGGAATAGCCACTCTGGAAACTAATGTGGAGTTTCCTCAGAATAAAAATAAACCTGTCATGTGACTCAGCCTTATCACTCCTGGGCATATAGATACTACAGAGATACCCCTGTGTCCACATTGCTATATGCCCTTAAGTGCTGAATGAACAAAATGTTCATATATGTGGTACATATACACAATAGAAACTTTATTCTACTGTAAAGAGAAATACAATTATGAAATTAGCAGGTGAATGGTTGGAACAGGAAAATATGGTACTAATTGATATAGCCAAGACCTATAAACACCATGTTGTCTCTCAAGTGGATTCCAACTTCAATCTTGAAATATATGTGGTTAAGTGAAAGTATCTGTAGAATCCAGGAACCACAGATAGAACACTGCAATGTGGGGTAAAGAAAAAAATTAGGGGAGATAGTGGAACACAGGTGGTCTAAAGGGAGGACAGAGGTAATGGAGTGGGAGGTAAGTGGAGAGAGGTTAGAGAATTAAAGAGGCAAGGCTAGGAAGAGAAATGACTAACACTAAGAATGCTTAGAAAAGGCATATGGAAACCTACAATTGTAAAAGATTTATAAAAACAATTTAATGAATTTGAATGGAGTTACCCTTGAAGGAATAATGCTTGAACCAGAATCTATAGGATATCAAACAAAAATTCCAATGCCAGGTACAGGATACTTCCCTTTGAATTGTTGTTGGTCAAGGGGCTCCCATAGACATCCCTCCCAAATACTACGAGCAGTTAGTTGCCTACAAGAACCAGATGGCAAGATTCTATTGCTGAGGACACTACACCATGACCACAGGACCTAAAGAAAACGTGCTGGTACTAACATGGAAACTTCTTCACTACATCCTCTTTTTCATACTTTTAGAAGTTGCTATGCAGGATGCTGAGGAAAGGGGAGGGGAGAAGTCATCAGCTGTTTTGCCCAGATGTGTACCCTTCAAGATACAATAATGACCAGCATGACAAGATATAACCATTGGGGTAATACTAACATGACAGTTATGGGATACCCAACCACTTTCTGATTGAATTTATGGTCTACTCAACACAACATAGCTCATACTCAAAACCGGAAATCTGTCCAAGAATCCATGGCTGAGGAAATTATAAGCCCAAGGATAGAGTATATTATAATTATGTTGCTAAGTACACTTAGTATCAAATTTCCTCATAATATTTAACCATTTTTATCTATTAGTGAAGCCTCAATATTAGCCACAGAAGTTCCTTTTTGCAGTAGATGGTACTTAAGACAGAGTAAGTTTTCAGTGAAAAGAATATGTGACTGTGGGGTGCCCAGACCAAAATAAGACATCTATATCACAGCCCCTGCCTTGAGAGTCAGATAATCAAAGAGTGAGTGGAAAGACTGTAAAAAGCAAAGGTTGGGGAGAATTGCTGTAAAGCTGTCTGGACACCACAGGGCCATTGTACACACGAACTCACTATGGCTGTGGTTGCCAGTGTAAGGCACACATGACCAGCCAGCCAACATTGCAGCAAGGATGTAGGAAGCAGGAAAAGTCCTGAGTGAATGTGTACTGTTTGATATAGACATAGCCATGTCAAGAACAAATGTCTCTGGCCCATAGGAGCAGCAAAGTCTTCCCCAAAGGGATGACAAAGCCATTCTCAGTACTGAGTGTGAATGTTGATGGTGTATACAGGAAAGGCCCAGTGTAGTTTTCTCCATCCAGATATTTATGGCCTGAAGATTGCTCTCCCTCAGAGACAGCTTCTATTAAGACTAGCTAACCCTGCCTCCTTGTTCAGTTTATATAACCCTGTCTCCTTTTTTCAGCTGATGCAATAAGTCCACCTCTCTATTCAACTGTATATAATAAGCACACTGGGCTTCCAGGATGCTGCAGCTTCTGCATCCAAGAGCCCAGACCTCCCAATCCCAGCTATTCTATGTCCCTGTGTTTGTTCTTTCTTCATTTCCTTACTGCCCCTGTTAGGTCAATCCCTGGAGCTAGGGTAGGATGCAGCAGATCTCCAGTTTATCAGGTCCCCACAATAGCTGAGGAGTTACTGGTACTTCATGACTACTGGGAGAGGATGGGTCCGTTCTCCTCCAGAATGCAATCCCTGCAGGCTGTATGCTGCAATGGATATCCATGCAACCTTGGATTAGATGGCTAAAAAAAATGAGCACATGAAGTTGGAAGGGAGATTTGTTGATGAGGAATTCTGAGAAGAGTTAGAGGGAAGAGACTGGAGGATAGATTTGATCAAAACACATTGTACCTTGTATGAAATTCTCAAAAATATATATTTTAAAATATAAAGTATAATATGATATTCCAAGTTAAGCATATTACATGCTCAAGAAATATTTTTGTCACCAATTTTCCATGCTTCAGAATCAGGCAAAAGAGTGTTAAGGCCAAGTAATTTTAGGTAACAGTGTTTTAAATGTCAGTTTCAATATTTTCAATGTTTCAATATTTCAATGTTTTCAGCATGATCTTTCGAAGTTAATGCATTAACAGTAGCTATTGCTGAGGGAAGTTCAGATGCTGTGTTAGTTTCTCTTCTTGTGAAAATTGCTCTGACAAAAGCAACTTAAGGGAGAAAGGGCTGATTCTGGCTCAAAGATCAAGGTACTATCTGGCATGGGGTTGGGGAAAATGAAGAAGCAGGAGCTTGAAGCAGCTGCACCATCAAAAAAACAGACAGCAATGATTGCATGTATGCTAGGACTCAGCTTATTTTCTCTACTTAATACAGTCCAGAATCACAGCCATAAAAATGGGCGTGACCCACAGTAGGCAGGTCTTCCAACCTCAACATAGTGAAGATAATCCCACAAGTATGTCCACAGGTCCATTTCCTAAGTTAGTCTAGATTCCTTCAAGGTGAGAATTAACACTAACCATCACAAATGTCATGTTACTTTATGCAGAGATACCCCAGAAGTTCAGGACATGAAAGTTTGCTTTGCTAACTCCAAGAACAGCGTTCTTTAATCTTCAGTTTTACAATGTAACTTTTTGCTTGTATGCCTTTAAAAAAAGTAAAACAAAAAGAAACTACAATGCAGGAAGCACTTCTAGAAAGGGCATGCCTCTTCTCTACATATGCACAATTTTCTGCTTCATCTTTTATCCCAAGATGGAAGACCTGCAGTGTGCTAAGAGAACTAGCCAAGTTCTAAGTGTCCTGCAGAACTGAAAAGATGCTAAACTGCCCTCCCAGCAACTCTAGGCTGTTGCATGTTCTAAAGCCAGACATAAATTAACCTCCAGATGACAGTATGGATACCATCACAGCATCTAAAGTACTGCTGCCTCAGAAAGAGATTCACCAGCTCACAGACAGGTGAACATGCATCATTGCTAGGCAGAAATATTCATCTGGCCACTCCAGACTGACACCTTCTGTGTTATTAGAGGATGATTTGCAAACTTTGAGCCTGAAAATGGGAATCAAAATACATTGAAACATCATCGCAAACTGACTGAAACCAAACCAGAAACCCAGCAGTGATTTTTAGTTGTTGGAATTGACAACGAGGGAGGACTCTGAGAGCGCATGCATGGGCCATTTGGTCCAGCCCTCATGAGAAATCTGCCCTGCTTTTCCAATTTGTTCCATGCAGCAACTACCTATAAAGCCTCTGAAGAAAAACTGTACAATCTTTCATATCAGGGATGGAAGATTTGGTTTCTCTTTCCAAGAATCAGAACCATGGGTTGGCAAGGTAGCTTGTGGGCAGAGAGCTTGGTGTTTGCTCACAGCCTGAGTTTGATCACTAGGACCCACATAAAGGTGGAAGGAGAGAAGCAATGTGACAGAGCTGTCCTCTGGCCTCCACTTGCATGCTGTGGCAGGCAAGGTCACCCATATTATACACACACAATGATAATGAAATAAAATAAAAATTGAAAGAGGAGTGAGTGTGGTAGAGTTTTTGGTGTCTTTAAAAACTTGGTTATGTAAACATGGTCTTGTTTTAATCCAGGTGTAGGATATGGGGCTGCTTTAGACTGTCCACAGCAGCAGGCTATTTGCCTCGTGAGGGCTCTGAGAGGGGCGTGATCTTTGCCAACTGCAGATAGTTTAATTCTGAGGACTCTGGAGAGGGAATAAAAGCCAGAGCCAGGAGAGAAACGGGGCCTCTAAGGAAGAAGACTGCTACTTCTGTTTGCTGTTGATGCAGTTTGTTGAGAAGAAGTTGGAGATATCCTGAAACAAAGATTGGACTTGCCCCAAGGAACTATGTCTCTAACCAGCAAAGAAGTAGTAAAGAGACATACACTCCCCCCCACACACACACACCTTCTTTCTCTCCTACATGATGTTGAGGGTTGGAAGGGAAGAAGAGGTATAAGAAACAAACAAACAAAAAGATTTTTAAAAATATGCACTACAAGTCAGAATCATACACTATGCTTTAAAGTCTCAAAGAAAGCAATAAGGTGAGTGTTTCAGAATTCTCGTCTCTTGTCTGGACCCCACAGTCTCACCAGGGATGAAAATGAAGACAGAAAGCTAAGAGGTAAGAAAACAAGGGAGGCACAGAGGGGTGCACAGAGGACCAGACTCCTGGAGACACCTGCAGAGAGAGACTTCTATTTTGGTCCTTGCACAGGTGGCCTATCGAGTCTACTCAGAGCATTCAGGATAGGGCACACTGCAGGGTTACACAGCAGCCCTGCCTGCTGGCAATGTGCTTAGCTCTTTGAAGCTGCACTGGAAACTTCTGTGCCTGTTCTTTATTGAAAGGAAAATGAGCTCGCTGTAATTTTCTGCCTCACAAGGGTTCTGGGACTTGAAAGCCATCACCACAACTCAGCTTCCCAGTTTCCAAAATGATTCCCGTCCATTTGTAGAACCAGAATGGGCCTTTTTATTTCTCCTAGATTTTGTTTTATGATTCCCAACTGTGCTTAAGTGTCTCATTTAAACCCCCCACGTGGTGACTACTTCCTCTGTAAGTCATTCAGTGTTGGAGACATCTGGACATTTCAGCACAGAGTAATAGGATTACCCAATCCAGAAACTTCTTTGAATCTTTATTTGCACTCCGTCTCATATGTACTAAGAGAGAAAAAAAAAAAGCTTTTTATTATTTTATCCAGTTTTTGAAAAAAATGCTATGAAACCTTTAAAAACTATTCTAACCTACCTGAGAGAATAAAAAAGTATGACCATCCTGACACATTGTAAATCCTAATCCAAGAGGAATGACTGAGGTCAGTGTGTGTTAACTCTAAGGCTTACAAGTGGTGATAGATATTCTCCCAGGTTAAAGAAATAAAAAAGGTTCAAATTCGGTACATAAGTTTCAAAGTCATTTAAGCATCCAAGGCAAGAAAACTTAACACTTCATAATAGGATTATACTACATTTTGGTGCATTATTTTTAAAATATATTATTAATATGTTTATGTGCATGTGTGTTTGCCTGTATGTATGTCTACGCACCATGTGCATGCTTTGTGCCTGAGGAGGCCAGAAGGGAGCTTTGGATTTTCTGGAACTGGAGTTACTGGACATAGTGAACCATGCGAGTGCTGGGCATCCAATCAGGTCCTATGAAAGTGCCAGTGCCCTTCATTGCTGAGCCATCTCTCCAGCTCCTCTAATGTGTTCTTATCATTTATCATTTTAATCTAGCAGACTTACCTACAAAAGAAACTGCATAAGTCTAGTGTTAATCAGCAATAAAAATGTTCTCTTTTGGTAATTAACAGCTCCCAGGAGCTGCTATAGACCCATGCAGTTTCTCAGGGCTTCTGTATTTTAAAAACAAATAAACAAACAAACAAAACAAACCTCCTGAGGAGCATGGGGTATAAGTACTCAGTTCTCCATTTCTTTGAAATTAATTTCCACTTTAAAATGGGTTTTCATGCTGATTTTTTTTTTCTAATATCTGTGGGCTGAGGCAACAACAAGTTCATTATAAAAATCAACTGCAGCAGTAATGTGGTTTTAATGAACTCTGATTCTCCCTCATCTCAGGAACTCGCACAGGGTTCCTCTGGGGGCATTTAATGCAACCAGATGTTCTGATTTAATTGGGGACTTGCTTACAGTTTCAGAGGGTTAGTCTGTTATCATCATGGCAGGGAGCACGAAAGGCAGGCAGGCAGGCATGGTTCTATGGAGGCAGAGTGAAAGAGATACTGGGCTTGTCATGAGCATTTGAAAAGTTAAAGCCCACCCCCAGTGACACATTTCCTCCAGCAAGGCCACACCTCCTAACCCTTCCTAAACAGTCCACTGACTGGAAACTAAACATTGAATTATTTGAGTCTGGGAGTTGGGGTGTCATTCATTCAAACCACCAAACAGAGAGCTCACTGGATAAAGTCCTGTTTCAGAAGGAGGGGTCATTAAATGGTGGCATGAGAGCGGCTAAGAAGCTTAGGCTGGAAGTTGCGAATGTGTTGCTTTCTTGTTGCCGTATGGTCACTATAAAGCCAGCGCCTTAAAACACACATACTTACTTTTTCCCTGAGATACCACAAGTATGAAATCAACGGCAGGTGGAGCTATTTTCTTCTGCAGGCTCCTGGGTGGAAACTTCAAGGTCACCTGCATTTCTTGGCTGAAAGAAATCCGTGTGAGCTTGGAGTACAGGCTGAGCACTCCTTCACCCTTCTTCCCAAGTGTGTGGAATATCAAGGACTGTGTCGGCAACTGATCTTTCTAGCTCCAAGCCCCCTCCTTCATACAGCTCTCTTTTCCCATTCATTAGAAATGGCCACAAGCCTGGCCCAGGCAGAACTAGCCCTGAGTTCACCTCACAAGCATTTCTTTCCCTGCCTCTTGTCTCCTTAACCCCTCACTCCATCAAGCGCCTCACCCTGGATCTTTTGGATACAATTTTCCCTTTCTTAGGAAATTGCACTTCCAGGGCACCAGTGACACATACACACAGAAACTTGACCCAACTGAAAAATATAAGCAAGTTCTGATTGGCCATGTACATGACGGAAGAAGTGTCTGGGCCTAATTTGCGGGCATATTTGTTGAATTCAGTATTAGGAGAGACTAAGGGAAGAAAAAAAAAGTGATTAAGAAGACACAGCCTCCATCCTTATTTAATTGGATGTTCTAGCAAACTGAGAAACGGTCCCCAAAGCTGTCCAAGTTCTCACCCCCCACTGTGAATGAATGCCGCACAGGACCTTGCACTGAGATTAAACCAAGGAGCTTGATGAAGAGAGATTGTCCTGGATTTCTGAGCACATCCTACTGCAATCACCAACACCCTTACCACAATAAAGTGAAAGGAGAGTCTGACAGGGTGATGTGTTGACAGCAGACACATGTTCCCTGCTGAGTCTGAGGAGGCCGAGTGCCACAAATGCAGCAACACAAATGAAAAGGCCAGGAAGTGATTCACGTTAAATCTGTTTAGCAGGGTATTAGTCCCTCCTGGGGCTGTGGCAGCTGGCCTTATCCATGAGGGAGGAATCTCTGTTCTATGAGCATGTTCTGGGGGCAGGACACACTCAGTGACTGTTTTTCCTGGAAAGCGGAGAACATGCTTGAGTGACCAGAGCTGGAGTGGTATTTGTAACTGACCCCCTCTCTGTGTAAGGCATCATGGTTTCAGCTGGAAGCACCACTTTCCAATGCAGCCTCCCTTTCCCATCTGATCAAAAGCATTCTCTCTCAGCTCTGTGTATGTGTGACACTCATCAGCCAGTGATGCTACTGGCTACCTGGTATTTGACTGTTTTATGTGCTGGCTCAGAAGTGACCTCTTGGAGGGGAAGAATCCATCTTCTTTCTCTTGATCGATAATTACTGAGCACCTGCCACATAGCACTTGGGAGAAGAGCTGGAAGTGGGAGTACAAAAACACTTGGTGCTGGAATGGACTCTTGCATATCAAAGACACCAGATATCTGTTCTCTGATTAAAAGCTGGGCATAAATAAGTACATAAGACAAGTATATAGTCGATTCGAAGTAAAGGTTCACAGAACCAATTCTCCTTCATTGTTTCCTGGCTACATTTTGGGT